AATATAGGATGGGATGTTCTTGTGAATGTTTTCAGTTTTCAACTTTACAGACAATTTTCTGCTAGACGGCTTTACTCTTTTAGGATTCCAGCTCCTTCTACACCTCCACCAACCGTCCTTCTCTATTAAGAACTAGTGTGTTTTCCAGCAACTGATAAAAAGGAAAACTTGGAAGTTGCAAGGCTACAGGCAAGACTTGCTGTCTGAATCTGAAATATCATGTGTACCTCTTAGAATGCTTGGGATTCAAGAAGTTAACACATCAAAAGGCACTTAGTAACCAAGGAATGGCAGGAGACAGGCTGCAGAGGTATGTATGCTGTGAGGGTTTGGAATTTATCCTGAGGGGAAAAGAAAACCCACTTGAGAGTTTCCTGCAGGGGAGTAACAAAATCAGATTTTTCTGGATAGAGAAAAAACTGGAAATCCTTAGCCCAAAGGCAAGGAAACCAGGTAGGAGGCTTAGACGCCTGAACCAGACTGATGGCAGTGGGCCAAACCGAAGTGTTCGGGAGGCAGAATCCACAGGGTTTAGCCAAGATTAAGTGGGGGAGAGAGAGGAGGTAATCAAGTGACAGAGTCATGAAGACTGCTACCCAAACACCCCAGTTTTATCTCCTTCCTGGCACACGCATCGCTCTTTTGAAATCAGCGCTGGCCACGTAACTTGTTCAGGCAGTGAAAAGTGGGATTATATCCAGATGAAAGCTTTAAAACCCAGTTGGCAATCCACTGTGTCCCAGTAACCAAGTGAAAGAGGGTGGCTCTGTCAGCCTGGATCCCAGGGTAAAAGTGACATAAAGCAAAGATTCCCTGCCCCTTCCCCAAACCAAGCTGTATCTGGATCTGTCAACAGGTAAGCAAACCTTTAATTCTGAACCTACTGAGATGGAGGGGTTTTCACTACCGCACAATGTAGCCTGTCCTGACCGAAGCTGTAAGAAATGCTCATCCTAGGGGTGCCTGAGTAGCTCAGTCAGTTAAGCGGCTATTTCTTGATTTTGGCTCAGGTCAAGATCTCATGGTTCGGCTCCAGAGTTCGAGACTTGCATGGGGCTCTGCACTGACAGCGTGGAGCTTGCTTGGGATTCTCTATTACTCCCCCACGCTTGTGCTCTCTCCCTCTCTCTCTCTCTCTCAAAAGGAAAGAAGGAAGGAAGGAAGGAAGGAAGGAAGGAAGGAAGGAAGGAAGGAAGGAAGGCAGGCTCACCCTAGAGGTGTGTCCATAAAGAACAGTAGTTAGAAGCACACATAAACTGTAAGTCTATATATCTGTCTTAATAGGCAGTAATAACTACAGATACAACATTAAAAATGGGGAGGGAGGAGCTTTAACTATTTCCCAGCAAAAACAATAGCTACTTTTTTTTTTATTTTTATTTTTTCCAAGTTTATTTATTTTTTGGGGGGACAGAGAGAGACAGAGCATGAACAGGGTAGGGGCAGAGAGAGAGGGAGACACAGAATCGGAAACAGGCTCCAGGCTCTGAGTCATCAGCCCAGAGCCCGTCGCGGGGCTCGAACTCATGGACCGCGAGATCGTGACCTGGCTGAAGTCGGACGCTTAACCGACTGCGCCACCCAGGCGCCCCAGCACATTTTTTAAAAAGGAAAAAATTTAAATATGTACTTGGGAAATTATATTTCTTATGATCTAAGAATTGATACTATAGAGTGTTATGTACTTTTTTCCTATTTCAACAGTTTCAAAAGTGGAGGGTCAGCTTGCATATCCCTTTTTAGCACAGACGGGAAGAGCAAAGAAATATGGTTAATAACAGACACAAAGCAAGGGAAAACCCCTTTTGTTCTATATGTTAACCATTACAATCAACTTCTGCCTCTAAAATGTAAATACCACTTACCTCCACCACTAATAATAATAATTGCTAACAAAGACTGAGAATTGACTATGTGTCAGGCAAAGACCACCTTCACTGCTCTAGCTTATTTAACCTTCATAACTCATCATGGCTAATCAAGGACTATTTCCAAAGCCTATGCCTCTCATGATCACTATATCTCACTTAAAGTAAGCTCAGATAAATTTCTTTAATCATGGACATTAAGAAAATGAGTTTTAAGTGGAATAGAGGAGAAGAGGGGGGAGGAAGATCTTTAAAAAGACAGGAAGGGAAAAAGAAAACAAGAGAAATATGCCTGGGAAGCAGGCAGCTGTGGGCAGTCAGAGGTTTATGGGGATACAGAGGGTAGAAGTAGAATGATGTTATACAAAGCAGAAGAGAAAATCAAACTATAGCAAAAATCAGTCTAACCGAAGCTTTCTTTTCATCCACATACCCTGGGTGAATTCAGTAAGCTTTCTGGTTGAAAGAACTACTAAAGCAGATAGTGAAGAATAACAGAAATGACCAAAGAGAAAGTAACAGACTATATCCACTGGCTCTACAACCCACCCTGCTTAGGGCTAGAAGTAAGAATTTTACAGTATAACGCACCTTATCAGCCCATCTTGGTTCCCAACCTCGGCTCCCCACCTGGTAGGTGAGTGACCCTGAACAAGTCACTGGAGGGTTGAGCCTCTGTCTCTTCCCCAGTAAAACTGTGCCAATAATATCTATTTCAAGAGAACATTTTTCTTTTTTTCCTTCTTTTCTCTTGAACCCACAGCACCAACTTGAGACTTGCCCTTTGTCAAGTGTGGTTTCAACTACATAATTACGTTCAATTATTTCCAAGCACAAACTATAACTTTTTATTCACAGATTTAAAAAGACATTATAAAAAAAAAAAACTGTCCTACCTTTAATTAATAAATATATAATGAATCCTCATTATATAACCAGGACTACACTATGTACTAAATATGCGATGCAGAAATAGAGCCATGGGTTGAGACCCTATCATCAAACCATAGTGCAGAGTTTTACTTTACCATTTATTTAGTACTTAGGTGCCCTTGGGTAATCAAATAGTAATGGTGACAAAAACCAACATGTGTTTGTTAAGCCAGGCTCTACTGCATGTATTTACCTTATGTAACGGTCTCAATAATCCTATGAAGTAGGTACCACTACTTCCCCCATTTTTCAAATAAGGAACTGACCACAGAGTGGATAAGCAACTTGACCAAGGTCACCAGACTGTATGCAGACGACAGGCCTCTAGAGCACCAGTCCTGTGCTCCAAACTATTAAACAAGAGTCTACACTATACGCATAAGCACATTCTCCAGGGCTGTTTTAAGGATTACAAATAATATTTTTGAAGAGCTTAGGATAGTAAGCACACAGTAGGTGAACAAGAAAACACACAAGGATGCAAGCCATACTGGAGAACAAAGCAAACGTTAGAAGGAAATTATTCGGGTTCCTTAGTCCCAACCCTCTTCCAAAGTCTTAGGACACTTGATCTATTAGTATCCAACATAAGGTCAAAGTTCCATGTATATACTTCATACTACAGATTGTTGTAAAAGGGAAAAATTTAAGTCAAAAAACATAACAAACCACCATAAACACCAAACTTTCTCTTCACAGAAAACCCCTGAGCTATCTCCATGCCTCCATGAGCTTCATTCTACAACCATTGCTGATGTTGGTCAGAATGAACATGAGATTTGCAAAAGACGTTTAAAAAAGAAAAGAAAAAAAAATTCTTAATTTCATCACAAAAATGGGGTAGGTTGGTTAGAATTCTTTTTTTTTCTTTAGATAAACTGCGAGTTTATTCATGTTGTTTAACCTGATGGTTACAGCTTGTTAAAGTTATATATTGCTTTAAGAGCGATTGGTGGTGATAAAAAATTATTCACAAAAATGAATCAGAAGTCATTTGGGCTTTAAAAGGATACCACACTCCTAAAAATACCAATTTTTATCTGTTAGGAATGGGTGGTTGGAATTATTCTTAATACAAAGCAAAATGAAAAAGTTTCGAGAGAATTTGTTTTTGAAGCAATACAATGTATCAGAATCACTAACAGAATATAAAATACATCTATCCCTATGGTTTTGAATGCTGTGTCTCTTAACTTCCATACAGTTTTATTTAAGTCAAGCTGAAGGGCTGAGTTCCTAGAAATCTCTGTATGAACTCTTTGTAGTTTTGAATCATTGAATTTGGGGAACTCAGTAATCTAGTTCAACCCCTTCACTTTAGAAAAGAGGAAAGCAAGGGAAGAGAGAGTTAATCATTCGTTCCAAAGTCATGAAGTTTGTAAAGACTGGCTTCCTTTCTTCCAGTCGGATGGTCTCCTCACTAGGAGTATTCCTATTCCTCAGTTGCACTGAGCTAGAGAAAGCTAAATTGGATAAGCAGAACATACGAGTATCGGGCAAAAAAAAAAAAAAAGGTAGGTGTGTATAAAGAAAAATATATGCTCACTAGGCAAAAGGTCATACGTCCTATTTTGTTTTATCCTCTACCTAGTGATTTCAAAATGAAGTTCCTCCAAAGAAAAATGAACTGGAGGATTTCTCCCTTTGCATTGTACTAAAGCAAACTACTTTATACTTTATGGAGAAAAGGCCTACTACAAATTTTAGGAAACTCTGTAATATGGAGTCTGAAGCTACGCCCTCCACTGTTTATCCAAACACTTCCTTTAGCCCCGTGTCCTTAAAAACTTGAGTCAAAACCCGGGATGCATTTATGCAGGCAAGAGGGAAAGCTAGGAATGTGAAGCCGTCACTCCCTGACTGTTGCCAAAGCTGCTACAGAAATAAGATGGCAAATGTATAACATGGACATTTTCATTCATTTCTCCTTAAAGTTAAAAGGACTCTTCGTTTTTGATCAAACTTATACGCCAAAAAGGAGTAGTTCTTTCTCTACCAGATGTCCCTTTGAGGCCCCGACTTAAAATCGGTTTTATTTGTGTAAGATTCCTCAGCGTGCGACGCAAAGTGATCGGAACTCCTGTTTGTCAATGTCACTTCTCTGTTGGCATTTGTCTGATGGAGCGCCCTCCCAGGGCCGTCACAAGACCGCTGGAAAACAGCCCTGGAAACGGATGGGGGCAGCGGGATACCACTTACCGAGAACACCGCATTCTGAAGCCCAAAAGGTATGGGGGTCAGTCTGGCCAGTGCCACCACTTTCAGGCCGCTTCCTCCCTCCACCACGCGAATAACGGCGCTCAGCTTCTCGCTGCTCTGGATCCTGGCGGCCACCCAGGAGGTGAGGAGCCGCTTGCAGACCACATGGGCGATGAAGGTGCCGATGAGGACGCCCACCACCATAAGTCCCATGCCCAGCACGAAGCCGTACAGGTAGCCCGCGGCCACGTTGAGCACGATGTAGCCCCAGCCGCAGGGGAACGACACCACGATGAAGCCCACGACGAAGAGCAAGACCCCCAGCAGCGAGTCGAGGCTTTCCACCCAGAGCAGGAGGTGCTGCAGGTAGC